AACCTGCCTGGGAAGATCTGCAGCCAGCCCCCACACCCGCTCCAAGAGGAACCCACGTAGAATTCTGCACAAGCGGCTCCGGCTCCGGTGTGGTTTGGGGGACGTCCGGGCTGGGGGTCCATGAGGGGTAGCCAGCTAGGGTCACTGTTCAGCCCCGCATTATTCAAGTGAATGAGGCAGTGAGGCAGGCGGACGCACCGAGGAGTGTGCAGATGAGATGAGCTGCCGCCGCCCTTGGACAGCACCGCCAGACCTATGACCCAGCAATTCCCTTCCTAGACGCAGACCCCCTAAAGCTTTGACCAAACGGGTCCCCGTACCCCAGAGTGACTGCGGCTCAAGTCACAACACCCACAAAGTGGAACGGTGGCTTGATGTCACAACAGGGGCCCCTCAAGCCTACTCCTCCACCCACACTGGCTGCTGGCTGAGGAAGGGAGTGGTGGCCGAGCAGGCCAGTGCCACAGAGAAGGAAGTGCTAGGTGCCAGGGGCTGGGGAGCTGCTGCTCATGATGTCTTTGTTTCTCTCTGGGCTTATACAGATATACACACACATGTACACACATGTACACATACATGTACACACTTATGCATACACACATGTATGTATATATATAATGGTGGACGTGGGCAGGGGTGGTGTGGAGCCTTTGGCTGCCTCCACAGGGACCCAGGAATCAGGCCAGACAGGCCGCTGACAGGGCAGCTGTATGACATTGACATTAGTGAATCTTTGGCACAAGTAGTCTTGGAGGGGGAAAGAACATGCAACATTCCAAAGGGTGCCTGCCCAGACTTTGAAGTCCCCTTGGACCCTGACCACTAGGGGCACCAGTTAACTGCAAGGAAGGACCAAGGGGCCTTGATGGGCGGCAGGAGCCCAGGGGCCTGGGGAAGAGGAGGTGTCAAGGGACGGAACACGTGGACAAGCCTGCAGCGTGGCCCTCTGGGCAACCTCCATCAGGTCAGCGCCACCCTCCTGCGCCAGGCGACTCCAACCGTGGCCACCCCGCGGCAGCAGAATACCCGCACACGCCCTGAGTTGGCCTGTTCCCTTTGGAGGCCCGTAGGGGCCTGGCGGAAGGCGGGGGTGAGGGGGAGGCTGGGGTCT